ACCCCCCCCCCCCCCCAACCCACCCCTCCCCCCAACCCCCCCCAACCACTTTCCCCACACCTCACCCCACGACAAGCATGTCAGAGTACGCTTCCCTTCTCACACACAAGCCCTCCCCTTCCCCCTTCCCCGTCCATCCCCCCCACCCCCCGGCCCCCACCCCCGCCCCCTGTTCTTCCACCTTGGTGTGTGGCCCCGGGTCGAAGGGTGGTGACCTTCTTCCTTTGGCGGTGATCAGGACGGACGAGTGACCATGGTGGACATAGTGAGGAGCAGGAATAGGTTCTGCTGGGTAGAAGGAAGGAAGACCAGGAAGCGTGTAGAGTTTAGCGGCTTGTGGATCAGGGGCGGTGTGTCCAAGGCGAGTAGCGGTGAGAGGACGGCGTAGCGGGCTGGAGAAGGTCGACCCAGCCTGTGCCTGGCAATTTTTTCCTTTCCTCGGCGACTCACAGGATGGAGGCATGGGCTGGCCTCAGGGAGGGTGATAGCTATGACAAGGAGGTTTACGACTGGGTGCCGCGAGCGCTGGGCGGCGTGCCGGCGAGCGAACTCAGTGAGCCTCTACAGGAAGCACTGCGGCTTGTGGGCGCGGTGCTCGACGGCGGGCTCCCAAGCGCGGAACACAGGCATGTCGGGACGAGCGTGCTGCCGGCCATGGTCAAGGCGCTGCTGCGGCGTTGCGATGTGGGAGGCGAGGACGTGCCGCAGGTGACGATGCTGATGGAGGATGCGATGCAGGCTGTGCTCCGCTACTCGGACTCCGGGGTGTATGAGCTGTGGGGCGAAGTTCTCGCACCGATCTTTGCCGAGGACGCGCCGTTCTACACGCTTGTGGGCTACGAGCGGTCGGATATGACTGTGTACCAGCTGACCGACGATGAGGCTAAGGCTGCAGCGCAGATTGAGGAGCGCAAGGCCTCGCGCGATGCGCAGGGCAATGTGTACGCGTTTGTGCCTGCCGCTGCGTGGGAGGCGCCTGCCGGCCTCATTTCCGCACTCAACGTGTTTGGCAAGATGGGCGGGTTTGACGGTGTGGTGCGGCACGTGGCCGGCGACGCGCCGCTGGACGCGATGCGGCACATGCTCGGACCGATTGCCGCCGTCCAGGCGTACTTGCTTCCGGACTTTCTCGAGGACTGGGTCCCGCGGCTTGTGCCTGCGCTGCAGACCAAGTTGATGGAGCTGAGCTCGGACGAGCTCAAAGTTGCGGACGAGTCGTGCATCGATGACCTCAAGCAGTGCATCCAGAGCCTGTACCTGGCGCTGCCGTCACACGGCAACGCGTCAGGCGGTGGGCGCACTGGCGGCGCGCTCGTCTCGCCGGCCAACAAGGTGCTTGAGGCGTTTACGCTCGATTTTGGGCTCAAGTGCCTCAAAGCGCCGATCCTTAAGCTCAAGCTCAAGGGTCTGGCCGACATCCGCGAGCTTGTTCGTCTCGCGGCCCACAAGGCCGAGTACATTTCCCGGCTCCGCGACTTGTCGGGCCAGGCTGCAGCGTACCTTGCCAACAACCGCGAGGCCATGATGGCGTCGGCACAGCTGATGTACGTCGCCACTTCGGTGGACGATCTCCTCGCCTGGCTTCTGCAGCATGACATTGTCGATTTGCTCTACGGCTCGCTGGCCCATATGGAGGTCATGCGGCGCGGCTTTGAGTTTGTCAAGTTTCTGGCGAGCCAGGGCGTGCTCACCAAGGCCCACATTGACCTCATCTGGGAGGCCGGCCAGGGCAAGCACGAGGCTGTCCAGAACATTGTGCTCTCAGCCTTTACCGACCTGGCACCGTCGCTCTCGCTTGAGCTCCTTGGCTACGTCTACCACGCCAAGGTTGCCACCGTTCCGCACGCCTCGTTCTCCTCGCACCTTATCCAACTCGTCCGCGCGCTCACCATGCACGCGCTCCTCACCTCGTCCGCGCTCAAGACTACCGCCGACGTCAAGGCCGCCACTGCCGCAAGCGCCGCCAAGGCCGCGCAACTCGCACGCGACGAGGCCGCCGCCACACGCGCTGCCGCCGACCTTGCTACCGATACCACCAACGACTCTGCCGCCAAGGATCCGGTAGAGGCCCGCACCGCCGAGGCCATGGCCGCGCTCGCCGCCCAGGACGCTGAAGCGCCCACCGCCACTGCTGGCGTCACCGACATCCACACCGCTGCGGCTGCGTCGTCGGACATGGCGATCGAGGCTGCCGCCGCCGCTTCTTCCGCGGCTGCTGCCGCCAAGGCTGCGCAGGAGCTTGCTGCCGCTGTGCCGGACTCGGACTATGGACTTCCGCTGCTGTGGGAGCTCTTGCAGGACGAGGCACATCTGCCCGAGTCGCTCGCCGTCCAGGCGTCGACGGTCCTCTACGAGCTACTGGGCTGGCAGTGCGGACACGTCGAGCGGGCCGAGTACATGGAGCGTTGCATTGCCAACCTCCGCGAGCACAAGTCCATTTGCGCCACGCTCCAGCTCCTCCGCAAGATTGTGTCGACCTACTCGAGCGGCGCCGGGCGCGGAGCCGTGGGTGGCGGCGAGCAAGTGCCGGACTCGATGGCCTCGGTCGTGGCTTGGCTTGCTGAGGAGCATGCACTGCTGGACGTCTTCTTTGCCGACCTCGTCCACTACAAGGCCGCCGCATCTGCGGCGGCGGTGGCTGCGCGGGCGAGCGGCGCCGATGACGACGCCATCAACCGCAGCAAGCTTTTTGGCGCCCAGGGCCACATTGTGAATATTCGCGAGCGGCTGCAGTTTCTCAATACGGTGCTGACCATGTCGGATGTGGGGCTCAACCACGAGCAGGTCGACGCGCTGTGGGAAAGCCTGGTTGTCTCGCCGACAACCGTGCTCGAGCAGGAAGAGGCCTTCCGGTGGCTGGAGAACACGTGCGCGGTGCCCGAGTCGTTTTCGTACGAGCTGGTGCGTTACATTTTCGACGTCAAGGCGCGCGACCTCTCATTTGTCTCGATCACGCTCCAGGGCTACCGGTTCTACGAGTACTTTTTCCGCTACATCAACTGGAAGGAGAAGCGGTTTGAGCAGTCGGGCACCACACATTTTTCCGTCCTCTCGCTTCAGCTCATCGGCATCGATGGCCTGTGGCGGCTGGCGTGGGAGGCGCGCGACGCCGAAGTCGGCGACGCTGCCTACAACATTCTCATCCGCCTCTACCAGGGCCTCGTTCCGTCGCTCCGGACCCACACCCAAGCCAAGCGTGAGGAGCTCATCGAGCGCTGCATCGCTGCACTCTCGGCCGGCGCCGCCGTCCTCCTCGATGGAGACCGAGACGCCGACGCCGATGCCGACGCAACGCTCGCCGCCCAGCTGCGCATCTCGCGAGCGCTTGGCCTGCTCAAGCTCTACCTCGACGAGTTTGCTAGCATCAAGGGTGGTCCGTCGCCGCACGGCTCGCTTGATCGCTCGGCGCCGCTGGTGCTGTACGTCGATGTCGAGAGCGCGCGGCAAGCCGAGGCATCGGAAGGCGCGACGCTTGCGCCTACCGTCCTCGCCCGCCACAAGATCCTGGTCTCGCTCGACGACACGCTCGGTGACCTGCGGTGGCGGGTCGGCAAGCTCTTCTCGCCGACTGAGCCGCCGTACCTGGTTCAGCTCGCGCTCGACGGCGAGCTCTTCCCCGAGTCTGCCGATGGGCAGACGCTGCAGGCGCTGCGGCTTGGCCCGAGACCACGGTCACCGCCTTTAAGTACCGGTCGAGCGAGTTTGACATGGACTCGCTGGCAGACTCGGCCGAATTGCAGCAGGCCATTCTCGGCGAGTTCCCGGCGAGCATTCTGGCGCGCGAGCAGTACTTTGCGCAGCTCTTTGACCTCCTCCGCCTCCCATCGACGTACGCGCGGCAGGTGTGGGACTTGCTCATGCAGCTTCCGACCAACGCGAGCCTTCTCAACGCACTCCTCACCTTTACCACTGCTGACGATCCGATCGCCATGCTTGGCAACTTGCTCGACTCGAGCTCGACGTTCCAGCTGTACTACACGCTGCAGATTGTCGAGACGCTGCTGTATGATGTTGCCGCTGCCGCTGCGGTCAGGGAGCAAGCTGCGGCACGGGAGGCCGCCGACGGCGTCGACGCGACCGCCGACACGGCTGCCACTGAGCACTCGGAGGTTACTGTGGCCGGTTCTGCTGGCGGCTCGCGTCCGCCGACGGCGTCGCTGTCGGTCGCTCAGCTGGCCGCCCGTGGGCAGGCTGCGGCGCAGTGGTGCGCTGAGTTTGTGGCCTGCGGCGGCGTCCACATTCTTGTCCGCGCTCTCCTCGAGAGTCCGCTGGTTGATCGTGCGTACTCGGGCGAGCGGCCAGGTGCAGCACAGCCGACGCTTGCGCTCCTGCTCAAGGTCGTCAACTACTTTGTTCTCGACCTCTCGCTCTACAACATGCATGTGGGCGATGTCGTTGGCACCTCGCTCGGCTCGGGAGCCAAGGAGCCGCTCCCGGACTGGGTCAACGTCGGCGAGCTGGTCGCCTTTCTCTGCAAGATCATGCACTCGGCAGCTGCGCCCGCAGCCGACTCGGGCCTGGAGCCGTCGGACAACGACGTGGACATTGTGACCGAGGCGACGTTGCTCGCGGTTGCGGTTGTCCTTGCCCAACCGGGCCAAGCGCTGCCGGCGTTCTACGCCTCGGCTGGCGTCCGGAGCTGGCTAGAGTGCCTCCTGCTAGCAACGCCATGTCGCCCGATCCGGGCCAAGGTGGCGTCGGGCGTGTTCCAGATTTGCTCGATGCTCACCTCGTTTGACGGCGGCGAGGCCGAGGCTGCGGCCGGGTGCGAACTTCCGCTGAGCGTCTTCCTCCCTGCCCTCATCGACTTTCTGGCCACGCTTTCGGGTGCCGAGCATGCGCACTCGTCGGCGCAGCTCTTCAGTCTCTTCAACGACCTGCTGGCGCTTGGATGCGCCGGCGGGTGCGGGTACGACGCCTCGCAGTTTGAGGGCCTACTTGTGGAGCTGTGCGATGCCATCCGGTCGCGGCCGATGCTGGAGAAGCGTGGACGGCCCGAGTCGGACGACACGCTCGGCGGGCTGTTGCGGCTGGCGTCGACGCTTGTGGGCGCGCGGAGCGAGTTTGCAGTGCTGGCGCGCGAGGCCGGTATGGTCACAGAAGTCTTCTGGCGAGTTCTCTTTGACATTCCAACGATGCACGATCACGGGCTGCTGGCGCCGCCCAAGGCCAAAACCGAGCTGACGCGGATTGCTGCGTTTATGTTCCTCACCCGACTGGCGGCCGGCTCGCCGGCGGTGTACTCGGGCTTGACGCAGATGCTGGCATCGGAGCTCGGTGAGCAGGCGGACCTGGCGTGGAACTGGAACTTTGCGCCGGCGGCGTTTGAGAAGAGCCCGACCGGCTACGTCGGACTGGAGAACCTCGGTGCAACGTGCTACATGAACTCGCTCCTCCAGCAGCTGTACCACATTCCACGAATCCGCAACGGGCTCCTTCCCCTGGCGCTGCCCGAGGCCGAGGCCGAGGCCGGCTCCGAGTCGATGCTCTACCAGCTGCAGGCGCTGTTCTCGTTCCTGCAAGAGTCTGAGCGCAAGTTCCTCAACACGCGCACGTTCTGCGACGCGTACCGCGACCCGTCGGGCCGGCCGATGGTGACGCACATCCAGATGGACGTCGACGAGTTTTACGTCTCGCTCGTCGATGTGCTCGAGTCCAAGCTCAAGGGCACGTGCGAGGAGCGGACGCTGCGGCAGACCTTTGGCGGTGTCATCTCGAACCAGATCATTTGCCGCGAGGCCAAGCACGTTTCGGAGCGACAGGAGGCGGCGTACACGCTCTCGCTCGGCATTCAGGGCAAGAAGGACATCCACGAGTCGCTGGACCTGTTCATCGAGGGCGACATGCTCGAGGGCGACAACAAGTACTTTTGCCAGGGCTGCAACAAAAGGTCGACGCGCTCAAGCGGTGCTGCATCGAAGCGCTGCCCAACACGCTCATGGTCCACCTCAAGCGGTTTGAGTTTGACTTTGAGCTCCTGCGGCGGATGAAGGTCAACTCGGTCTTTGAGTTCCCGCTCGACCTCAACCTCAAGGACTGGACCAAGGAGGGCATCGAGCTGCGCGAGGCACTGGAGAGCGCGCGCGAGGCCAACGAAGACCTCGACGCCATCCGTGCTTCGCTCGCGCACACGTTCCGGCCTGACGACTACTACCAGTACGAGCTCGCCGGCATCATCGTCCACATGGGCACCGCAGACTCGGGCCACTACTACACCTTTGTCAAGGAGCGGACGGTCGACGGCGAGTGGTTCCGCTTCAACGACACCAACGTTGACCCGTTCAACCCGTCGGACATCCCAGTCGCTGCCTTTGGCGGCACCGAGTACACCACCTCGTGGGACCCGAACCTCCGCAAGAACGTCCCTCACGTCACTCAAAAGTCGTACTCGGCGTACATGCTCCTTTACGAGCGGTCGGCCAAGTACGAGTGCGCCGAGCCTGTGATGGACAATGACGACGACGATGGCACCGCCGCCGCCGCCGCCAAGTCTGCTTCCCTCGACGTGGATCCGCTTGATGCCGAGGCGGCGGCGGCTGGCCTTGATCCGGTGGCGGTGGCGCGGGCCGCGGTGCAACCGCTGGAGCCGGCGCCGGTTCTCTCGCGCGACGAAGCGGCCGCACTTGTCCGCGACGACATTTTCCAAGAATGCTGGCAGCAGAACATGACGTTTCTCTCGCAGAAGAACGTGTTTGACCCCAACTTTTTCGAGTTTCTCTCGCAGCTGGTGCACATGGCGCAGGCCGACGACGCAGCGCCGGCAGACGTGGCGCGGGCGGCGCAGCTCGGGACCGTCTTTGTAGTCGAGGTCCTCCTCCACGCCAAGGACAAGGCGAGCCTCGGCAGCTGGATGGACGTCCTCACTGCACTCTACACCAAGCATCTGCCGTCGGCGCGGTGGTTCCTCGCCGAGCTTGTGGTGAACCCGCGATGGCGGGTGCAGATTCTGCTCCACTGCACGGTGCCCGAGGCGCGGCGCGCGCTGCGGGCGCTCATTGTGGCGGCGCTGGAGGCTGTGGCGAGCGATGAGTTGGAGCGCGGCGTGTTTGGAGCGCCGGGCGTGCCACCCGAACTGGTGGCGGAGCCGAACGCGTCGCGGCTGGCGCAGACCGAGGCCGACGAGGCGTATCTTGGCGCGGACATTGCCGGTGACGTGGCGCTCATGCCGCACGTGCAGGGCAGCGGTTCGCTGGCTGTCCGGTTCTTTGATGCGCTCCTCCTCCACATCGGCGAGCTGCCGATGCACTGGCGCCACTTTGAGCAGTACTTTGAGGTTCTTGCTGCGTTTGTGAGCCTCTCGCCTCTGGCTGCGGCGGCCGCTGCCGAGCGTGAGGTTGTGGGCCGGCTTGTCTCGTTCTTCCTCGAGGACCAGTCGCCGTTCCGCCCGCCGCCTCCCGACGGTGAGAAGGTCCGGCTCATGGGCGAAAAGTTCCGCCCGCCGGCGCTGGCGGCGATGGTGGAGACAATCGACGTGCTTGCAGGCTCTGTGGTGCTCGACGAGGTTGACAGCGAGGATGCCATTGTTAATGCCGGCGGCGGCGACGAGCTGTACCTCTCGGACTTTTCGTACTCGATGCTGTTCAACGAGCAGTTTGTGACCAAGGCGCTGATGGACAACGTTGCGACACCGCAGATCTCCCAGCTGGTGGTGACGCTGTGCAAGGACTCGATTCCGCGGACCCGCAAGTACACGCAGATGCTGGTGACCGGCCTCGCAGTGGTCGCGGCCGACGAGGTCGGGCCGTACTACACGCTGCTGGCGGCGATGGTGGCGATGGACGACTCAGTGCGTGCCGAGCGCGGCGACATTGTGATGTCGGGCCTTGTGGCGGCGATCGACTCGCAGCTGCCGATGATGCACAACGGTTACCTGCTCATCCGCGGGCTGGTGGCGCTGGCAAGCGCCGAGGCTGGGGTGCGGGGCTGGCTCGCCTCGCACCGCGACGAGTGGGTGGAGAGCTGGCTCATGGCTGCGCCGTACGAGGCGCAGCGGGCCGAGGCCGAGGCGCTCCTGCTGGTGACGTTGCCTGGCATTCGCGAGCAGCTTGTGGCTGGCTGGGTCGACGGCGGGTTCGACACGCGTCTGCCCGGCTCTGCGCGCGACCGCAACGGCTCGTACGACGAGGCGCTGCGGTCGGTCATCTACTCGATGGGCATGGACTCTGAAGATGGCGAAGTCGACTCGGCGGGCTTCTTCCATCCAGGCGGGGCGAGCGGTGAGCGAGGGCGGCGACTGGCGGCGCGGCCCAACGTGCAGCTCGAGGCGACCAAGCTAGACGCCGAAGCGTTTACTGCGGTGACAGAGACTGTGGGCTACTTGCTGGGCCACCTGGAGACGGCGCGCAAGTACATGGCGGAGCACTCTGACCCGCTGACCAAGGATGGGGTTGCCATCGAGTCTGCGACCAAAAAGTACACCAAGCTTGTGGCGTTCTTTCGGGTCCTGCGGATGCTCATGCTCCGCGACGAGGACAAAGCGGCGGTGTTTGGGGTGTGGCCCGAGTTCTGGAAGCTCTTTTGTGACCTCGACGCACTCAACCAGGAGCTCGACGACAACAAGCGCGAGATGATTGAGTTCTGGGTGGCTGCTGCTGAAGGCTCGCCACAGCTGCTCGCTGCCATCGGCAGCGACGCCGAGGTGACGCGGCGGATGCTGGACATGTTCATCTCGCTGCGGCCACTGGAAAAGTTCCTGGTCTACAACCGGCGGTCGCTGCCATCATGGTACCGGCTGTTGTGGCTGGTGGCACGGGCGTCGGAGACCTTCCGCAATGCCATCATATTCCACCACAACTTTGAGTGGTCGATCAAGAACCTGTACGTCGAGTCGTCGTCGTACGGGCCGGTGGCGTCTGCGCTCTTGTTGACGATCAAGGAGCTTGCCGGCGAGTCGCCGGCCTTCCGGACCAAGCACATCCAAGCCACGCTCGAGTCTGGGCGGCTTGTGTCGAACGCGCGGCAGGTGCTGCGGCTGCTGCAGGTGCTCCTGGTGAGCGACGCCGACATGGCGCTCTTCTGCACCGGCGGCGGGCTGGCGCAGGTCGCCGAGTTTATCGAGACGCGGCGCGAGGCGTCGGCGTACATGGACGACAAGGCATTTACGCCCCTGGCGATGGCGGTGGGCTTGCTCGACCAGGTCATGACCTTCCTCGTCTCGCCGGACGCGTCGCAGACCGCGACGCTGGCTGGCAAGGCTGCAGCGACGGTGGCGGCCGAGTGGAAGACGCGGCACATGGTGCTCTCGCCGCTTGTGAGCGCGCTCTCGTCGTTCCGGCGCGAGGAGACGCGCAACGCGGTGTACTCGATTGCGCTCAAGGTGGCGGCGTTTGATCCCGAGCTCTGCGGCGAGGAGCTGGTGCAGATCCTGTACAACGAGCACGAGTCTGTGGGTGCGCGAGGCTCCGAGTCAGGCCTGCCGGGCTACACCTCGGACGGCGACGACGACTCGCTTGACGGGCATCCTGTGCAGTTTGATCGCGGCGGGCGGCTTCTCATCTCTGCGTCGGCAGGCAACTTTGTGCCGCCGGACGCAGACGCGGTGCGGCGGCTGGGCAAGCTGCCAGGCCCGCTGATGGTGCAGCTGACGTACCGCGAGACGCGCGACCTGCCGCTGCGGGCGCTCGTGGCGGCCTACTACCGGTTTGTGGGCGATGCGGTGCGGCAGGTGCTGGAGACGACGGCGTACACGCCGCGGATCCTGGCGTCGGGCGTGCGGTTGCTGGTAACGGCGGCAATGGAGACGTCGACGACGCCCGAACTGGTGGCGCCGCTAGCGGCGCAGCTGCTAGAGCTGTGGCGGGCCGAGCCTGAAGTGGCTGTCCACGTCCGAGCCGAGGTGCGGTTCGACGACTGGGCCGAGCTTGTCCTCACCTCACTGCAGGGCGTGTTGGTGGAGTCTAGCGCGCATGCCCTCCTTGCTGCTGTCCTCCCGGTGGCGGCCCAGCGGTTTGCTGAGCTCCGGTTCTCGCGAATGATCAACACCATCGCCGACAAGCTGGTCAACCTCTGCGCCGACGTGCAGACGTATGTGCAGGCGCCCAAGAAGGCCAAGAACCTCGAGAGCGCCGGGCGCGAACTGCGCGCGGTCCTCCTTGCCCTCGGAGTCCTTTTTGAGACAAACCCGGTGATCCGCCCAACCTTCCTCGCCACGTGCACGGCCCAGGCTGAGGCGCAGACGCTCGTGGGCGAAGCGCGCGAGCTCGTCTGCCAGGCGCTGGGGCCCGAGCTGGGAGACGAGCTAGTGGTGATGCTCGAGCAGGTGGTCCTCGCTGACGAGTAAAGTCTCGAGAGCTTGCTGGAGGAGGCGAACCACGCTGAGTTGGACGTTGCTTTTCACTGTGAGGCGCGCGGTAGCGCAGAACACCGCTCGGCTAGGGCGAAGGGGCAGAGACTGGCTCGAGCAGGGCGAGCGCGTCGGTAAAGGCAGCGTCAAAAACGTCGTCGGAAAAGCGCATGACCGAGGCGCGGCCGGCAGCAGCGACAGCACGGGCCTCGGGCAGGTGCGCGTAGATGTAGACGAGCTGGTCGGCAAACTCGTCGAGCGAAGTGGCGAGGAAGCCGCGGCCGGCCGACGGCGGGCCGACAATGTCCATGAGCGGGCCACCGGTGCCGTGGGCAAGCGTGACGAGGCCGGCAGCCATATACTCGACTACGGCGATGCCAAAGTGCTCGTTCCACATGGTGTGGAGGCCGACGGTGGAGGCGCCGAGGGCAGCGACAAGATCGGGAAAGGCGACGTCGGTCCGGATGTCAACCGCGTCGGCAACGTCGAGCTCGGCGGCCAGGGAGTGGAGGGCGGCGACGCGAGCAGCGTCGTCGGCATTGCGAACCGAGCCGATGAGGACAAGCTTGGCCTGGGCCGGGAAGCCTGGCGTGGCGCGAGCGCGGGCAAAGGCGCGGACCTGCAGTAGGTGGTCCTTCTCGGGCCGGAACTGGCCCACCGAGACGATGTCCAGCGATCGCGACGGAGCGTCAGGCGGCGGGAGCTCCAGAAAGGTGGCGCAGTCGCACGGCGGGAAGACGGTGCGGAGCGCCGGCGAGGTCATGCCCCACAGCGCAGCGATGTGGCCGTGGGTCCATGAAGAGTTGACGGTGACCATGGTGGCGCGGCGGCCCATAAAGCCATAGAGCCAGGCAAAAGCCCGGTAGTAGGTGGCCTTGGCCGACGAGAGGGTGACCGAGGAGGCAACCAGCGACGAGTTGTTGTACGAAGGCCGCTGAGCGACGACAGCGGCAAGCATGTCGGTAGAGATGGTCGGGTAGTGAACATAGGCGCCGACGACAGCGCCTCCGATCCAGGAAAAGACAGGATAAGTAAAAGCGTAGCCCATCGAGTCGATGACCACATGTGCCCTAGCACGGAAGAGTGCCTCCCCAGCCAGAACCATGGATCCGAGCGACTGCATGAGCATGGTGGGGCGGAGGAGTGCATGCGACTCGACAGCAGTCCGGGTGGCGAGAAAGACAAAGATCGGCTCCCGCGGCAGCTCCACCGCAAACCGATTGCGGGCCCGGGCAAGGATGTCCTCTGGCGGGATGCCCTCGTTACCCTGCGGGAGGAGGAGAGGTGTGATGAGTATGGGGTGGGGGGGGGGGGGGGACGGAGGGGAGGGAGGGAGGGAGGGAGGGAGGGAGGGATGGCGTACGGTGTAGATGAGGATGCGTGCGGATGGCCAGCGGGCCATGGCAGCCGCCACACCCTTCCACAGCACCCTCTCTCCGCCACCACCTGCGTTTGCGTAGGGATGGAAGAAGGCAATGGTGTGGGTGGCGGGCGAGGTGAGGGTGGCCACCACCTTGCACACCACAACCATGCCCAGGATGACAAGCACCGTGTTGTACGTCCACCATACCAAACTGACGAGGAGGATGTACATACTGGGTGGGGCGGTGGGTGGTGGGTGGGCGGAGTGGGGTAGGGGAGTGGGTGTGGCGGGGTGTGGGGCGTGGTACGAGAGGGGGGGGGGAGGGGGGGGGGAGGGGGGGGGGGCTCGGCTCGGTTGGTGCCACCGATTCGGTGGAAGGTGCGCGGGAAGGGGAGGAAAGGAGAGGGGTGATAGAGGTGGGTGGAGATGGAGTTTGATGTGGAAAAGGCGCGGCAATATGAGGCGGGATGTGCCGGGTTGAGCCAAGGCGATGGAACGAGAGGGAAGGGGAGGGGGGCGAGGGGATGACGATGACATTGATGGTGGCTCACTTGTGCTCAAGAGTCGCGGATGGCGCCAAGGCCCTCGATGAGGGTCTTGAAGTTGACCTGCCCGGTCTCATCCGGGTCGTACTCTTTCATGAGAGCCTCGATCTGGGCAGCGTCAAGAGCCTCGCCAAAGTCGGTCATGGCCCGAGCAAAGTCCTTGCGGGTCATGCAGTAGTCCCCCTGATCAAAGACCTTGAACTCGCTGAACACCTCCTCGGTCTTCTGCGCGCACTCTGCATTGTCGTAAAAGTAGTTCATCATGTCCTTGAACTGCGCCACGGAAAACGCGTCGCTGATGCCAAACTCCTTCAGAATGGCCTTGGCCTCTGCGTTGGAGATGCTGCAACGGGGAGGAGAGATGGCATGAGTTGAGAGTGTGTGGGAGAAGGGGAGGGAAGGGGGGGGGGGGGGGGGGAGACGATGTGGGTACGTACATGTGGCGCAGGCAGCGGACGAGATCCACAAAGTTGCTCTTGGGCAGTGAGTTGTTGGCGTTGAGATCAAACAGCTGATACACCTGTATCACCACCACCGATACAGAGCAACAGCATAGATAGCGACAGAGTAAAGTGAACGGCGAGAGTGCGAGAGTGCAAAGAGAGCAGAGCAGAGCAGAGCAGAGCAGAGCGAAGGTGACGGAGGTATTAGCGGAGATGATGATCATGATGATCATGATGATCATGACCATGATCATGATCATGATCATGATGGATGAGAGGGAGAGGGGGGTGAGTAATAAGTAGAGTGCGTGAGAGGGCGAGGGAGGGGGAGGGGGGAGGGGGAGGGAAGGGGGGG